GCAGAGAAGATTTGGCAGTTTTTTTATTTGTGCAGCCCGCAGCTCTACCACTCATCCCACAAATGCATGTTCCTTACAAATGTTGCACCATTTAAATGGAACATTAACATGCTATCCAAAGGTATAAGATTTATTGTCAAGAAGAGTTTTTACAACAAAGAAATAATGTACCAACACGAATTTCCTTACATTATGTTTTAAGTTTATATATTTATATATTTGCTTTTATCATGTATATACAAATAACCAGAAATAAAATGATTAAAACTTTCATTYTCACCTGAAAACTATTGTTTGTGTAACTATATTTTTGGGAATCCAAAGTTAGCAAATAGCAAAGTATCTCAATAAATAAAATACACAAATTGGATGCCAATTATCTAAATATAGCACAAAAATKAAAGAGATTTGTGTTTCGTCGATTACATCTTTGTTGTAATAATGCTTCTGGGCAATAAACAGMTGAGAARCCTGTTTGTTTCCCTTTAAATGATGCCACATTACTAAGGAAAGTGCACTCGTGGGTTGTGTATGTTGAGCACGAGTAGAGAGGTTGGAGTGGTCTGCCTACAGACCTGACCTCAACCTGCTCAACACCTGTTTGGATTAGATTCCTCAGCAGTGTGTGACCAAGCTGCTGATCAGCACGAGGAGGATGTGCCAGGTTGTTTCTTCAATAGCAGAATAAGCTGTTTGGCATTATCACTGAAGATTTGGCAAATGTTTTCGTGGGCACAACCCACAAATGCATTTTCCTAACAAATGTGCCACCGTTTAAGGGGGGGGGGGGGGTAAACAGACTTCTCAATCCAACATTATGAGATTTGTTGCCAAGAAGCATTGTTAGAAAAACAAAATAATAAACCAAATGTAAATTTCCTCACTTTGTGAGCCAATTTTATCTGCCCTAAAGAACCACAATAAGTTTAAATGATTTTGACCTTAGCCTTAGGGTAACAAGTGTATGGAGCCCAATTGATGACATTGGAAACATAAAAAATAAATTAATAATAATGCATGGTCACAAGATAATTTTGATCATCTTTGTGAGAGATGCAGACATCGTTGGAGTCAGATTACATTTGAATATGCTTTGTTTTTAACTGTTCAAAGGTATTCAGCGTTATTTATTTATTTATTTATTTATTTATTTATTTATTTATTCATGCTTTTTAAAATCCAAACAGAATGCCTCCATGGTTCAGTCTAAACAGTTCATTTAAAAAAACTAGTACTATTTATGAGATGGCAATATCTCGTGGCCATGCATAATCATTTTTCTATCCATTGTCACTGGATGGGCTCAGCACTAAATAAATAAATAAATAAATAAATAAATAAATAAATAAATAAGTGGTGAATATATAATAACAATATAGTAATCACATGCTGTCCTTATCTTGTGCAGTCCTGATGTGATGAAATAATTGTTCAGGCAGTGAAAATAAAGTGTCAGCCTTTGCTTTTGGAGTCTCTAAATGTTTTCTTTCATTAACCATTAACTCACTAAAAAAACAGACCGTTTTTCCTTAAAATCCGTAGCGTATAATCCAACTGAATATTTAAAACTACGTACTGTAGAGTGATCATATTTTAAAGAAATGTAAGTGCAGACTGACCTGTATTTGTGGCAGCAAATGCCACAGCGTTATTAGAACTTTCCAACTTCTTCCTTCTTCAACTCAATTAGTTCAAATGTCAGTAGCTGCAGGGTTTGGTGGAGTTTTGCTGYAAAGCGGAGTGGGAAGATACAAAAGCAAACATTGTGTGCAGTCCAAATAATCGGGAGCAGAAACGTTATTGTCCTAGCTAAACATTTGCATCATCGCGTTAGGAAATTAGGAGAAATGTAACAGAGGCTCAGAGAAAATGAGGTTAGAATGTGAATCTAAGTTGAAAGCACTGCTGTGACACACCAGGGATTTTGAGATTCTTTTTTCCCCTCGTCTTTATCACCCACCTCTCATCTGTTTGATGCTTTATAAGACATGCTTCCTTCYAGCAGCCTTGTCTCGCACCACGTTTGGACACTTTTTTTGTGAGATTAAATGTTTTTTTTTTTTTCGGAGCTATTTGGAATGCATTCAAACCTTAATGTCACATTCAGCAGGGGATTTCTTATTTTTTCTGGCCTTTTCAGTCAGCWTCTGACAAATCTGTGATAGACACCTAATCCTTTTGCACATCTAATGCTATTATACTCAGCTGGCACAGACCCAGCTGTCACTTGTGGCATATAAAATGGGATTTCTACAGAAATGATGCGGCGCAACATTAAAATCTCTGACCTGGGCAGAGTTTTCTTTGTGTACTTTATTTTGGAGAGCAGTGGGAAGGTTATGGACAGTAAAGTAAAGTTCAGCTGCGGGCAGGATCAATGAATTTGTGTTTCATGTTTGGTGGTAAAAGGTCACCCACCCCCCCGCTGTGAGTAAATTGTTATTTTTTAAACAGTTTACCAGGAAACTGCTCTGCTGTTTCTGCATGAAATATCAGAGTGAGTGTGACCTTTGTTGCATTATTGATTAGGAAAAAAAACACTCATCATCATCACACACGTGCACTTTAGACGCCTGTTTAACACTTCACCTTGATCATTCGTCAGATTTGGAATACTAATTAAACACGTTTTGTAAAATCTTGACATTTTTGGCAACTGAAATGATCTTGAATAATAAATTTGGTAAAAAAAAATGCATCAGTCTCTTGTCCAGGTTTCTGCTTAAATGTACTCCTCATAAAAACAAATCCTACAGCAAAAGCAGGCAAGTACAAGTGAGCTCTGAAATTACTGTGATCAAAGAGTTTCTTACAAGGTACAAATCCCAGGCAGGCAGACAAGCAGGAGAGATTAGTGTAGGATTCAGGCAGGGTCAGAGCTGGCAACAAGCAGAGTGAGCTCGAGGACACGCTAACAGGCGATGAGGGGTAAAACTGTTGATGTGTTTGGAAGGAAGCTGACGAGGGCAGTGGMAGTGACAGGACCGAAGTTGCTCTTCATTACGCTGACGATTGTTCTTGCTTATGTTGCTCGCTTTACTTCATCCCGTCTAAGCTGCTCTTAGTGAGAGATGTGAGGAAGAAACTCAAGGATGGGTGGTTTCTATTTTTTGTTTTTTTTTCATCAAAATGCAAGTTATGCAAGAAACTACAGGGTTTTTTTTTCACACAGTTTGATGCAGAGTGCTGCATGTTATCTTATTGTGCAACTTTTAAAAGATGGTAAAATCCTTCAAGTAGGGGAAAAAAGGGAGCAATTTCTGTAATAATGTCTGCAATAATGAACAGCACCACAGGTGAAGGAACTGGCATTGAAGCATGGCAAAKGTTGGTGGTCAGAGACCTTATCTGCGTGAAAACTATTGTTTTTTTTAATTCCATTTTCAAATAGAAATGATCTCAGCGGGAGTGACAGGTCGCTCAACAGGTGTAGGACCTTTTTAGAAATAATACTCAAGGAGTATCATGCTTGAAAACACACATTACGTGATTGTTGACTTGCACTTGGTATGCACATGGTGKTATAAGTGAGTTGTGATTAGGGTACCAGGGACTACAGACCCCGTCTGGTTGTAATAAAACACAATCTGAAATGGATGAGTGGCTGGTAAACTTTGAGGTAAATTAGATTAGTCTCGCAAAGAAAGGGCATCTCAGGTTCAGACTGCTCTKTATTGTTTCTCATAAACTGGGGTTTTGTGCATTTGTGTCATAACRCTGATGATTCTACTGGTTTAAAAATCCCCAAAGCCTATAAATAAGTCCAATAAACTGGTCATATTTAGCCACGCCTGTCACCAAACAGGCATTTCCCCCACTGCTGTTTTGTGTAACCAAACAAATTTACTAAAACTTTCTGTTGTAACACCAAACCTTTTAACCCTGCTCGGCCTTATTCTTTTCTTTCTTCCATTGTTTAACTCACAGTACATCAAAGGCAGTGTCATGGCATATTTATGTCTTACCTGTTGTAGATTCCTCTTTGACCAACTTTGATTTGGAGAAATAAAGTTTAACTGTTACTGGGTTGAGAAGTTAACAGCCAGCCCAGTGAGGTCTAGACCAAAACAAGATGGCTGCTGCCTCAAACCAACTTCAAACTCTTGCTTATAAACCTTGTTAAACATTGTTAAACATTGTTAAACATTGTTAAACATAAATATTGTTGTCAGTTTTATATTAAACATTTTTACATAATCTGCAACTATTTGCAAGCACAGATTAACACTTGAAATGTCATCACTGATCACTGTTACTGTTTATAAAAA